GACAGACCTAACATAGTTGTGTCTCCCATTTCATAGGAAACTATATATTTGTTGAGAAAAAGTGTCGTAAAACTGAAGAAATACCACAAAAACACACAACGAATGGCTTTCGGTGTGAACAGAGAGTTGTCTCTAATCGGAGAGTTTGTCGTAATCGGGATCTGCTTCTTGTCGGCCATCGACTCGCCATTCAGTTGATTGTATTTCTTCACGTCTTCCGACGGATGGCTGTCAGCCATTGTCTTCTTATCGGTTCCACTCATTCGTCTCAAACCGGAGGAATCGTCAGAAGACATGCCCGCGTGTGGTATGAAATGACAATCCAATTGTCTTCAATCATAAGTCATATTAAATATTGAATTAATGGTTAAAATAAATGACAAAACATTTCAATATTATTGAAACAAATCACACAATAATTCTGTAATTCGTTCACAAATTATGTCTCAAATTATTGGCGATTCTTGGGATGAGTTGTTGTGATGTTTTGGGCCATCGCTTCACACCACTAGTGGTCACTCAACCATTGCATTATCAGTAATTCAATGTTATATGTAATGGGAATAATGACCATGGTCAATTAGCAATATACTGTAATGTGATCGATGGCAGCATTCAGTAATATCGGCACAAATAGTGATGTCATTTACAAAACAAATCTCACATTTGTTTGCAAACACATCGAGTGTTAACAGTAAACAGTGTTAACACATGTCCGCTATTATTGTGGTGTGAATTGAATGCAAACCAGAAGTGAATTGTATTGTTGTCTATGAAATAGTGGACCGAAAGTCGTTCAGCGATGAGTCAAACGAACCGTCGATTCCTTCACCGAAATGTTCACAACAAACACAAGAAGACATTGAAATCATATTTCTATGAATTGTTTGGTTTCGTGAGAAACAAATGCTTTTCATTGGATATACTCTTCGATACAAAGCTATCGTTTGTAGTAATGATTGTTTTGTTTGGTTTCGAAACTTTTCTAAACATTTTTATTATTAATAGAGTTAAATGTAAGTGTTTTGCAGTTTATTAAACATCTAGATATATAACATATATTAAAGTCCTAATCACACAATTGATGAGTCCATATGTTTATGTATTTGCATTGATTTGAGTTGGGAAGTGATGGCACATTATTTAATACGTTTACTATTAATTTAATAAATGACATTGATCATATTTATAAGTTGTACAACTTGTGTAACTATACAAGCTTTAATTATAAGTAAATTTGAGATTAATTTAGACAAACATGATTAATATTGCATAATAGTTCTACAATTAATATTGCATATAAATGATATGTATTGATGTGAACAACATTACATTTAATATAATTATTATATAAAAATTATAATTTACTAAAAGTATAAAAGAATTTTAATTGAAATAAAATTTTATAAAATACGATCACAATTATAGCGATTATTCTATAAAATACAGACTTGTATTGATTTTTGCTATAATTGACTACAATTACAGTGAACTTTGCATACAGTGTTAGAGCGTTGGAGAAGTTTTTAGGACTATATAAACATATAGAATATTCACTATTTTATAGAATGTATTTATCCACACCTAGTCATTCACTTTATTGTTGTTACAATTCTTTAGTAAAATAGAAATCCATAATAAAATAAAGTATTTGGCTATTCTATAATTTTGATCAATCCTTTCCATGAAAAATGGAAAATGCTAATATTATGCACTAGCTAAATTGACAAATATTTCTATTGATCTTTAATTTAAATTTATAAAATCACAAATAAATTGCCCTTTAAGTGCTTTTAATAGGTGCAATTTGTTTTTATTGATCATCTATATTTTAGATTATAAAACAATGCTAATTCATGCAATTCTCACAAACCTAAATATTAAGGAAATAACTAAAATACAACATTTCACGTACAGTAAAACAACAATATATCCCATCCTGTGTTACCGTATATTTATATTACGAAAAATATTTAAAAGTATTATTTGATTATATTTTTATATGACTGACAGATACAGAGATTGATTGGTCGACATATGTAGAGCAGGTCCAGTGCTTTTTGAATGGCTCTCTCAACTACTCGGACATCAAGGGAGAGACGGGTCCTATTGTATACCCGGCCGGACATCTATATATCTATACAATACTCTATTACTTGACAAATAGAGGAACTAATATACTTTGTGCTCAATACATATTTGCATTTATTTATTTGATTACATTATTTGCTGTCTTCAGAATATACCATAAAATGGATTCAAAAGTAAGATTTTTTAACACAAATGCCTAATCATTGAGTAAAAGATAATTGAAAATAAGATATTGAGAAATTGTGTGAAATGAGAGACTCGTCTGTGATTATACTGTAAATGCTGTTCACATTCTGATAGTTTGTGTTGATTTTTATCTTATATGAGACGAACTTTTATTTCAATTTATTTTTTCTAACATTGTGAGACAAAATTGGGTATAATTTGAGTTTAGAGCACAAATAATACATAGTTTAGGGCAAAATAATATGTTTTTGTTTGACTTTTTTAATTGTTAGTTGCATTATATACTTTATTATTAGAGTTCAAAAAACTAACTTTTAATTATTACAGTAATTATCCAGATTTAGCATATTATACGAGACACTAATGGACAATTAATTGTTAAATACTACAGAATAACATGAATGTTCACAATTGAATGGAGGGATAGATTCAAAGCCAAATGATTTTGTATTTATTGTATAATAGAGAATATCATTTTGTAGGAAAGCAAACAAATAATATCAT